TGAGTAACAAAGTGTCTGCCTATTTTGCAGCTGAGTAACAAAGTGTCTGCACTTTGAGAAAAACAAAACTTGCTCTGTGGAAAGACCAGTTTGAAAATGAAAACTGTGAAATGTTTCTTTGCTTCTGTGAATTCTTGGAAGAAAGTGAGCTACATCATAATCATATTCGTGACGTCGTTTCTATTGATCTCGAGAAACTCTCGGTGTCATCTTGCAGATCAGTTTTATCTCTTTCTAAGATTCGACGGAAGAATACGATTGGATCCGGAATCCATTTAATGGCAGCATAACTTCTCATCCACCAATGCCAGCTCGAGAAAAGCGCACAGGACTATCCAGTGGTAAAACTCTTCAGGCAGAATTCGAGACAAAAGCTTTTGGTAACATCTGGATGCTGTATCGAAAATAATACCCTGACCTGTCACGAAAACCGATGCACGAGCTTTTGCATTTTACATCAACCTACCTGTGTGATTGAGCGTTTTCTGCTCTGACAACAATCAAAACCAAACAGCAACTTCGTGTGGAGAGGTAGAGAGGCATGTCCGAGTTGCTGTGTCAACAGTTCAGCCAAGAATGGGCCTCATATTATCCAAAGTTCAAGTCCATCCTTCACAATAAGTAGACCGGAAGTGTTTACCTTATGGTGTGTATCTTACTTTAAGATTTGTTTTATTTTTAAACGAGGGGCGCGTTTAGAAAAGGGGGACGCCATAAAATCGTTAGCGCACCACTGCTCTAGTTTATCAGCTCGAAATTAGGGACCATATTTACATAACTGTTCGTGAGTTGTTTGGTATTTATTGGAAAATGGTTCCGTTTTTCTTTATTTTAATAAGTAAAGAAATTCAGATCTGTCTTGAGTACATTTCATGCAACGTCTCGTCCGAAACTCGACATAATTATTGTACTTTATTTATCATGGACGACCCCTCAGATCTGTTAAAACAGTTCATCCGACGTATCTGAAACACGTCATTAATCGTCTTGGTAGAACACACACGCTGAGACTACCGTATTCCTGACTTTCGGATCTGGTGACACTTTCCAAAAACAAAAAGTTGACGTGATTTTGCTTTGGATGCGTTTCCAGTTCACTGAAAGACAAGTGTGTGTCTTCTTCCAATCATGTCTTCAAGAGGTAGACACACACTTCGATTCTACCAAAATTCTTCCAATCATGTCTTCAAGAGGTGTTTTGGTGGAATCGAAGTGTGTGTCTTCTTCCAATCATGTCTTCAAGAGGTGTTTTGGTAGAATCGTTTAAAAGTATTGATCATCTGACGAAACGAATCGATTTCCTTGCCATATTTTTATATAAAAAAAGAGTTTAGATTCCATGGATGAGTTTCCATTAATTCACGAACATATTTCTTTCTTCTCTTGCAAGATGAATGATGGGGAGATAAAAAAAAGGGAGGGGGGAAGGTAATCGCAAACGTTAAGGTTCAAACAAAACGAAATGCATCCTAGACAAGGAAAACAAATGAATATCTGGGCGCGTGTTTATATTTTTGGAAGAACCTATGGAAACTGAATGTCACTAGAATGGTAAGTTTTGTTTGAAAGGTTTGGACATGATATAGGATATTCAGTATGTTACCGTCGTTCTTAAACTGTTTAATAAGCTTAACCCTAAAGAAGCTTAATCTGTTACGGTCACTAATCTTCGTAGGCTCATTTTTAATGCATTAGAAAACCCCTACAACAAAGTCTGGACTCCTCCTCCAACACATACACACCCCTTTACTGAACTATTAAAGCTTCTGGTGAACAGCTTTGAGTTGTCATGGGCGTTGATGACATCATTTCTTGAGTTGACACACCTCAGTACAACCAAACTTGACTTCATCAAAAAAGATGTTTAGCCACGATTTTCGACATGAACAGACCCCAAGGTGAAAGTCAAGCCATCAGCCCTATTTGTGTCTGACTACGAATATAACCTTCAACAAGCTGAAATGGATGTACCTGAGCATGCCTGACTAAGAATATAACCTTCAACGAGCTGAAATGGGAGTACCTGAACATGTCTGATTAGGAATATAACCTTCAGTGACCTGAAATGGAAGTACCTGAACATGTCTGACTAAGAATATAACCTTCAATGAGCTGAAATGGAGGTACCTGAACATCAAATGGTTTAGTACGTTATATTAAAATGATTTTGGAGTCTCACCACGTCGTTACAGTCCAGGTCGCCACATCCGGTCATGTTCTATCTGACAACCGTACACTTTGACAATAGCTTTGTAGTGTAGTTTACATTGCAAAAGTCTCCGTCGTACTGATTACATGTCCTAAGCACATCACTCCTCCCTGCTTGCTTTACATAATACATCTAATGTAGGAGGACAACGGTATCCCAGCACTCATTTCAACAGTCCGATCGCACATAAATCCACAAGCGACTTGGCTGACATGTCTTCGTATGGAATAGCATAAATACGCGTTTCATTCTTAAACTGTTTGAGGTATGCAATGGTTGAATTGGAGGTATGACTGGAAGCCTCGTCTTGGTGAACCCATATCCTTTTGGCCTCGTTTTCGAACGAAAATCTTGATTATGTTGTGTACTGGTGTTCGGGACACGTGGGCGGCTTTTATCACTGAACTTTGTGTTCGTAGATTCCTTGTTTACCACGGCTAGAGTACAACTTGTTGCAGGTTCTTTATGGGTGGTCCAGGTGCCCCAAAATATACTTTGTTTTCCAGTGCTATTACGTGCAAAATATATTCCGGTCTGAGAATTTCTAAATCCCCGATCTGAACAAATCTGAGTGTATAAACAAATATCTTGCTTCGTAGAGGGCTGTAACATGCCCTTCACAAGCGATCAATTTTCACGCTACCTACGAAAACCCAAGTAATGTAAAAAATACCCAAACAATGTTGATATGTAGTTCTGATACATTCCATTCCGCCGCAACTTTATATCGGTTGTGGTTGTCACGTGACTTGCCGATTTGCATATTCAATATTTCTTTACTATTACACACTCAACGCTGTTAGGCAACGAAAAAAAAGAAAAAAAAGAGCAACAAATAGAGACAGAATTGATCTGATGAAAAATAGGTCCCCAACGTGCCACCTGCTGGGAAGGAGAGAAAGTTCTGTGTTAGGTTTGCTTGCTTGAGTACCCTAACAAGTGCCAT